GATCGTTTAGTTATTTTTTTGTACTTTTATGTGGTTGTCTAGTTTTGATAAAAAGAAAATTTGACACGTTCTTCACACCATTCACTGGAGCAATTATTGGTTATGACGCTTTATCAAAAGTCATTAGAAAAATGAAAAATCTATATAATATGACCTACCAACCGCATTTGTTTTAAAGATTCCTCTTGAGTCTTCATCGTATAACAAACAGATAATAATCCTATTAGTGGCTTTGTTTATTCTATACATATAGAGGAAAATAATCCGACCAGATTCCTCACTAAATCACGAGTTTAATTCCATGGCAAGCCTTACTCTCTTCTTCTCCTTTCTCTCTTTAGCTCTATTCGTCTCTAGTGTGAGCTCTCGTTTCCTGAGTCATGTCCCTCTGAATACCTCGATCTTGATCTCTGATGGCCTCCATGGCGCATGGGATTACGAGTTTCTCACTCTCGATCCTCCAAAGAACTTGTCAGGGACCACATGTGTTCATGTCTACGGGTTTCTTCCATGTTCGGAAAATGTTGAAGGACATGTCTTTCAAGTTTTCTCCTTTGGTTGTCTCTTGATCATCGGTGACTATTTCTTGTCTGAAGGAAGGTCGAAGCTCTTTGTAATCTTCGAGGTCGGGTTCTATGGCGGTATTGTCTTCCCTCTCCTTACAATGTTCCCAAGAATTGCCCTTATGCTCTGTAAGCATCCTCTTTCTTTGGCTCAAAACTAAGAACTCATGTGAAAACATACATATATATATATATGTTCGACTCTAAAACGTTTATTTTTTTGGGACTTTGATTCGCAGCGACTGGACTATCATTGAGCAGCGATGTCGCTAACTCCTTCATAAGTGAAAACGTTGCAATTACTGTGGGATACACTGTGTTTGCTCTCACAATTCAATGGGGAGCTTGTGTTGTGTTTAGCATGACTGGTTCGAGTTCAGACCAGTCAGTAAGTAGAACAACCACTGTAAGATATTCTTATTGTTGTGTCTCTTATTCGAGTCTGGAATCTTTTAGTTTTAATTATGGATTCAATGATCTCTTATGAGTCTAATTCGTAACTAAGTTAGCAAAGAATGTTCATTGAAAAATCTTACAGGATACGAGGAGCCAAAGGCAAAAGATTGGGAAGAACCTTGTTGGTAGGCTCAGTTTCTTGCAGAGTACTACAGATTCCTTTTCTTTCTCTTTGATAATTTTTTGGTATGAAGATTTTGTGGTTTATCTCTGCAGAAGCAAGCGTAGAAGCGGATCCTAAGAACAAGAAAGCTGCAGGGATTATGCTCTTGAGTCTAGCTCCCTTTCTCATGGTGACATGTTCGGCGATATTTGATTCGCATTCATGGAGTCACAATATCATTGTGTTGACCACACTGATAATTTCATCGTCTTCAACCGTTGCCTACTTTATTTACTCGGTATGAACCCTTTGGAAAACAAGTTTACTTCGCTTTGTTGTCTTACAGATGAATGTTTTTGTTTATGTGGAAACTCGCAGTATTTTGATACGTCTGACCAAGAAAAGAGCCTAGATCAAGCGAGGTTTGAGCTCATGTCAGAAGTTCATAAACACTTACAGAGGTTTTCACCAAAAAACCTTGTAAAACGTGGAGAGCTAAGCAAAGAGAGCCTGAAAAGGTTGTGTTATACTTCCACTTCTTTCTATATGTATACATTTGAAGTAACATTTGTTTCAGTTCAGCTTTCTTACATACTAAATCACTACTTAAATCGGTAGTTTGTTTGAGAAAACTGATACGAACAAAGATGGGAAGATACAAATCTCGGAGCTAAAAGACTTAACCGTAGAGTTTTGGAACTTTGGGAGAATGAAATGTGGCATCAATGAGCTTGCTAAAGATTTTCTTGAGGATTTTGATGGAGACAAAGACGGTGAATTAATAGAGAATGAATTCACTGAAGGGATCGCAAGATTGCTCAAACAATACAAATTCAACTTCGATCAGCTAGAGGATCAAAGAGAGAATCAAATTGTAAGTATAGAAATATCACAAATATATAGTTTTAGGGGATAAAAGTAAATTTTGCAAGTCCGGTAAATTTTTTTTCCAACAAAATTCAAATCAGGGCCAAGGTGTTCACA